TGATGGAGGCTACAGCTCTGGGGAAGAAGCTGTTCCTGATGATCTATCAGATTATTATTTTCTCCATTTGGCAGTGCTCCACGAGTTTGTGCTCTTTACACTAAATTGTGTGCCAGAACCCCAAATCCTGCTTTCTCTGTTCACCATGGATACAGGGGAAGAGCTGAATTGCATTTGAATTTTATGAAGCCTTTGTGGACACGCTTTATATAATTTGTTTGTTTGACACTGTCAATTTGGAATTCACTGCCTTTCTGTGCTCGTTTTTAAAGCCGTCTTATCTGTTGTGCTCAACAGCACAACAAACAATTTGTTTGTTGGAAAGCGCTGACTTGTGAATGCTGTTCTTCTTTACTTAACCCGTGTTTGGCATGTAAGGATGATCTAATCTAACTCTGGTAAAAACAAATGTAGGTCAATCTCTACTCTGTTTCTTCACAGATACTATGCCACAGTTCATCCTTTGAAAAAGCGCATCTCAGTCTTGGCGTGCACCTACCTTCTGTCTGGGATCTGGCTGCTGTCCTGCGGCCTGGTGGCTCCAGCTGTGGCTCACACGTACCATGTGGAGTTCAAGAATGAGGGCTTCACCATCTGCGAGGAGTTCTGGATAGGCCAGGAGAGGGAGCGGCTGGCCTACGCGTACAGCACTCTCTTCATCACATACGTCCTGCCTCTCTCGGCGCTCTGCATCTCGTACCTGTGCATCTCTGTCACACTGCGGAACTGTGTCGTCCCCGGCCACCACACCCAGAGCCAGGCAGAGGCTCAGCGCATGCGCAAACGCAAGACCTTCCGGCTGGTGAGCCTGGTGGTGGCAGCATTTGGCGTCTGCTGGATGCCAATCAGTGTGTTCAATGTGCTGCGTGACATTGACATTGACCTGATTGATAAGCGGTACTTTCTGCTCATTCAGCTGCTCTGTCACCTGTGTGCAATGAGCTCCTCGTGCTGTAATCCTTTCCTCTACGCCTGGCTACACGGCCGCTTCCGCGCTGAGCTCCGCAAAATGTTTAAATGTCGCCGTCGCATTGGAATCTCGGGCAATAACGGTGTCACCGCCAGCGTGGTTTTGTGAAGCTCCTGTGTTTTTGGGCTCCTGTTGGTTAATCCTTGCTTCTTTGGATAGAAATAGGCAGCCACATTATGAGTACCATAATTCATCAGCCCAGTGTTAAAACTGCTGTTTACCAATACGCTAAGAGTACCCCACCAATTTAGCACTGCCATCTTATAACATTGTCGGACTCACAATGGACCGTTTGAAAAAAGGATCATGATCAATGTAGCAGAACCAGATATCTTCTTTTTTACTCACATTCTTCTTGTGAAAACCTGGCACCTACATTACCCACAATGCAGCTCAACCACAGTTAGGTTGGAGTTTCGGATGTGTAACTTGTTACGACTAATGTTGCCTTCAACCGCCAGCCTCAAACTGAGATTAAGAGCAGGCTACAGAGGTCTGGTCAACTAACTTCTTTCGATACACTCTTACATTTATTCAATTTTCAAACCTGTAGTCTTCAGCACCAACCGACGTTGACTCAAGCGACAAGACCGGTAAAGTTTCCCTTTAAGCCTGAACCATCGACTGCCATGTGTGTTTGTACTGAATTATTAGTTCAATTTATCCATTTTCGAAATGTCTTTTTTCGCATGATAAGAACTTTCTTTTTGCCAGATTTAAAAATGTTTTTAATTAACTTCACGAAGCCGGTAAAATTCCTATATTGTTATTGTCAAGAGATATCATTAAAAGACCTGAACCAACAGATTATTTATCTGTCTTGTAATACTTTCTCTGATTTAAATGTAGCTCAAGCGCAAGTTCAGACAGGAAGACACTCACTGGTATTCCCTGTCTCTCCTCTCCTTGTAATTACTCTATCAGCTGATTGGGGGCGTGCACTTTTAAGTAACCAACCAGATTCTGCACATCGGTTCCTGAAGCCAATCAGATCGTTGCTGTCAAACTTTAAGTGTTCTCCTCTCTGCTGCTGTCAGTTGTCATTTCAGCTAAGCAGATGCAACCCTCCTCCACCCCAGTCGCCTCCAGTCAGCATCACAGTCAGGCTCCTGATTCACCATCACCACCAGTGTCTGGACTCCAGGGGGGATTAGGCCTGTTGGACCTCAGTATCCCTACCCTCGGTGATAGTACTTCAGGATGGAGTCCAACCGCCAAAGACTTTGCACTTTTCATATTTGATGCATGTATAATAAATCATTGTTAAATTATAAAACAAGTCGCTCCTGATTTAAATACACAGTGCTTGTAGAATCAGTTCATTGCCTTTTATTTTTTTTTCCCTTCATGGGATTGTTGACAAGAAAAATATAGAATATAACCACTTATTCTATCCATAAATACAAAGTACTGTGCAAACATCGTATTTCCACTATTCTGTCCCAATTCATTTTATTGTAAGTTTAGAAAATAAAAATAAAACAATTTGTTGATCAACTTTACTTTACACAAAGCTCCACAAACATTTACATTGTTGTTTTAACCACCATGAAAAAAAAAAAAAAAACGGCTCTTGACGGTCTCTTGGATTGTAAAGCAGCCATTGTGCACAATAAAACATCCTGTGTTTCCATGGCAAAATTTGATTATTATTCTCGTTTGTGTGAGACTATATTACATATAACGCGAGCGCCACTAGTATGTTTACATGATATATAATAGGACAACTGCAGTTGTCGATGCAACATGTATCCGAGTGCTCATTAGATAACAATTATGTTTATTAATATTTAAATTACGTATGTAGGTGATATTTCTTTCCAACTGTTCATACAATAATTGTAAATAATCACAGATACAAAGAATGTGGTGAAATATTTAGTGTCTTTATTTAAAATAAAACCAGGTTTTGCTCAGCGTCACTTCCTTCAAAGGTTTTACATGGACCGTAGTAGTATCGTCATGTCAGCAGACACCAGGCTGCACATTCTTTGAGCTCTCACTCCGGTACAAGAAGAGAGGAAGCCAACAACTGTCCGTCCGGCAAATCAGACACACGATTCATTGAAACGTTTTGAAGGCACAGGTCTGTACATTCTCAAGATTAATATTGCAATACTTGCTGACAAAAGATAGAATAACATCATCATATAAAAGGCATAGATGTTCATTTATTAGTGTAGTTCAGATACAAAGGCAAGGCTGGTTGGTTATTACTGATACTGAGTCGATTACCGTCTCTCTGATTATTTATCTTTATATTTGGTTTTCACTTAACAAATACAACACAAAGACCACAGTGATCAAAACCTCACATTATTATTCGAAGAGTTTGATTCTGCGCTATTACTGGCATAATATTTCAAACAATGTACACAGGCTTCATAACAATCACATGAAAGAAAAAAAACGATACGCCTGCTGCCGTGCAATTCAATCTATGCACAATACAGAGCAGCTGCTTGCTGTTATTTATTGCTGCTTTTCTAAATAACACCTCTTTGAAGCAAAAATAGGCACAATATGTTTTTAAGGACTGGAAGACCAGCTGACATTCGCCTGTGCTGAGTTAAACGATGCAGGAATGTTTTTAAATGAATGGTTAAAAAAAATATATATGCAAGTCAAAAGGTTCAACAAAGAAAACACAAAATAAGATCTGAGTGGTAAAAGTCAATGTGCCCTTGTTATACAAACAAACTTAATGTTGAATTTGGATGGTTGTTTAAGGTTATGTATATCATCATTCATTGCACAGAGATAAGTTACACAGAGCCCAGATAATAATCTTTGAAAAAAAAACATCATTAGTATATCAAATAAAGCTCCACCCAGGTTTTATCAAGTACAACATACATAAAACGTTGAATAGATTTTCATGTAACAATTATTTTTAAAGTAAATTCCAGTGCCACAGTGTGAAAACAAATACATTCATTTGCTCATATAAAGATGTTTGCCTTGCTTGTTATTAAAGATGCACCGATACCGATGCTGACTCAGCTGGATCTGGTATCTGTGACAATGGGCTGCTATCGGGTACCATTATTTTAATAAATAAAATAAACTACATTTATATCTATGTGTTCATTTGTTACATTTTGTAACAAATACATAACAAAGTTAGGAAAGCAATGTTTAAGTCAAGCACGATTGAATGATCCCCGTCACTTCCTCCCAGTGAGGCACGCAGCTTATTCATTTCACACTGGTATCCGATCGGTACTTGCTATCGGCTGACACCCAAAGCCCAGGTATCGGAATCGGTTACTGAAAAAGTTGGATCTGTGCATCCCAACTAGTTATGAAGTGTTATTCAAATTTCCAGCATTCTCAAACAATTTTGACTCTGAAACTAAGAAAGTGCATAATGCTCCCGAGACCGTCATCGAGATCTCTCGGCACACAGCGACAAAACAGTACAAACGCAGAACAAACATAACGGTGTCCTGAAGAGGGACTCTGTTCTAACAGACGCCGTTACCTCACTCTGGTTTGTCAGAGTTAAGAGATTGCAGGATGCCGGGCTGCTCGTCTATGACGCGTACCAGCAGGTTGTCGATGTACTCCTCGAGCTCCACAATCTTAGACTCCTTCTTGGACAGGTCGGTCTGCTGCCTCACCACCATTGTGATCAACTCTTCCTGCGTCAGCTGAGTGAAAGGACCACTATCCACCGCGTTTGCCACCTGAAGGGAATGAGGAACGGTGAATTCAGTACAAGCTCGATTTAATACATATTGAACTGTTAAGGGATGTAGTTGTTATCCTATTTGCACTGTAAGAACATATTTAACAATTGACAAAACTAATTGACATCACATGGTCAAAGCTTTTAGCCGCAACATCAATGTCAACAAAACCGTACCTGAGCCTTCCGTGGTGTGCTCTCACGGACCTTGATCTCTCTCACAGCGGAGGTGCTGATTGGATGCTGGCTCTCTGAGCTCATGGGCTTCACAGGATGAGGCCTGTAAAGAAAGCACATCAATTATTGTAACGCACTCAAAAGGATTACCGCAAGTAAGTACAATATGCACAGAATTTTCCATATCATTCCATACTGATCCGTGTGCAATATTCACAATTAAAATAAAAAATTAATTAGTTGCCTCGAAACCACAAGCTTTCGAAATAGTCTCACCTAAGGCCGATCCCAACACCTAATCTGCTTCCCCATACAACAGCAGAAAGCCAGATGCACAGTCTAGATAAAACAGTCCACAAATGCATTCTTTGTAAATTGCCTGTTCAATCTCACCTGCGTGGAGTTAAAGCTAGCCCACCTTCATTGCTATTCTGAGCACTGACAGGCTGAACATCAGAGGGTGAGACCCTCACCCGCAAAGGTGCCTTTCCCCCAGACAAACCTCCTGCCAGAGATGCTGGTTCTACTTCCTCCATGACTACATTGAGGGGTTCCGAGGAAGTCAACGTAGAGCCAAAAGGCTCAGCTCCAAACTGATCTTCGCTTCCATAAAATTCATTTTGTGTTCTCCCATCAGCTGGAGGCTTCAGTGTGACAGACCCATCCCTGCCACCTCTTGCGGAGAGGACTTGATTAGCTGTAGTTATGGTCGGTTCTTCTTTATAAACGGGCTCTTGTCGAGACTTGGTAGTCTTATTGTCCAAGTGAGTTGTGGGCGGACGACTTTGTTTTTGTCTCGGTGAATTCTTTCTTTGGAAAACTGGACTGACCTGATTTGAATCTTCGTCTTTTTTCATGTACTCGCTGGGTTTGTTTGAGTCGCTGCCATTAAAATCAGCAAATAAATCTGTCCGTTTCTCTCGACTAAATATGTTATCAAGATCGCCCGGTGTCATTCCCCGATCTTCAACTTTCTGCTCTCTTTGTACACTGCCGGTAGAAAAGGGATCTACTTCCTGGTTCGGCTTCAGCTGTGCCCATGGGTCTTTGGAGAGGAGCTCAGTGCTGGGGAACGGGTCTAACTCTGCCTGCCTGCCTCTTGTGACCATGCTGCTCATACCTGAACTAGATTTAGTTTGGATGTTACTGTCCATGCGGTTGTCTGAGACCACTGGTGTCACAGCAAAGTCTTCTTGCTGTACTGGCTCTTTGCCAGTAGTCCTCTGTCTGGGTTTGGCTGTGGGTGCCTGTGTCGTCACAGTGACTGGCGCTTCTCTTTCACCATCTTGTGTTGTTGTTTCCATGTGGCTAGCTGATCTGGGTGCATGTGTTGCTCCAGGAGATGGACGTAACACCCTCTTTGCTCCATCCCTGGACACCTCTGGGACTCTTTCTCTGCTTGTGTTTGCAGGTCCTGAGACTGCGGGCAGATTAGGCCTCATGAGAGATTGGTTGGCAGTATTCCGGCTCTGTGTTTGACTGTAATCTGCTACTAATCGAGGGTCTGGAGGCGCGACTGATTTAGGGGGAGCTGGGGCTGCTGCTTTTTTTGATGACGTGGGTTTGGTCGGCTGAGATGGTGTTTGGTATTGCTTCATAGTGGGACTCTCCTGTGGGACTGAAAACCCAGCACTGGATTCATTCTCCTCTGGGCCGTCCACACTCATCTCTGCAAAGTCCATGTGTTTCTGATTGACCTCAGCGATGATATGGTCCCATCGGGTGTGCCCTTGCACTCCGTGTCTCTTGTGAGGAAACAGGGTGTCATAATCGGGAAGTGGTACAGACATTTTTCTGCCTGGCTGTGGTTCATCTTTCTCTACATATGCAGGGTTCGTGATCTCTCTGACGGGAGCGGTATTTCCTCCATTTTGGGCCCCATGTGTTGTGTACGAGCGTGGCACGGGGGCTCCTCTTTTCTTGTCCGCCATGAGTGAAGATTGCACAAATCCTGCGGACAAATCCTCTGTACTGCCACGGGGAGAACCACGCGGGCTTTGACTTATGTTCGGTGGAGCCAGGGAGGAGTGGAGACTGGAGAAAGTGTCGGGGGAGTCAGACGGGACACTAGAGAGGGTGGACTCAGAGGTGGCTGGGGAAGGACACAGCTGACTGGGGACTGTTTGGCAGTCAGCGGGCTCAGACTCCAGAGATTCAGTGTATCTGCCAAGGAGTCAAAACAAGGCCTACAGGTCAGTGTGACCATCACAATAACTAAAGTCATATCCACCAATGTACAACCCATCACCAATCCCATGGCAAAAAAAACGATTAAATTCCCATCTACAACCACACATAATTTATCCCTTAGACAGTTTAGTTTTAGACAAAATTGTTCATAAAATGGTCCACTGTTCAATCTTAGTGGCCAACCGACAGACAGAACTTCTAATAGTCACGTGTCTTTACGTTCCGGTTTCTGAATTTCTTTTGACTGACCAAATATCAAAAGACTATAGATTATACTAGGTATTCCAACATGTAACAAAACATCACAAATAAATAACACAAGCAACTTTAAAGGCCCAAGGCTATCTGCCATCTAGCAAACATTTTTGAAAACAAAGACTACTGTTGCATCAGTGACAATGGAAAGAACAAGCCCCTTACCACGATGACTCAGAAATAAAAGATCCAGTCCAAAAAACAACTATAAAGTAACCGCAGACGTCGACAAGGAAAGTAACACCGTCGCACACAAGTCACTCCGTATGAGCTCTGGGAAGTCTACAACCTGTTCCACAAGAACCTGACGAGCACAAGCCACACCCAGATTCTCATCTGCACTGAGGCCAAACTGGTCAAACTGGTCCATCAACCGTTGGACAGAATTCAGAGTTTTGGTCATTCAAGACAGCCACGAGGTCGAGTCTACATGGACAACCTGGAAACTTGTGGAATTCCCAAGTTTAAGTGTTGACAGAGATGGTGGAAGGTGAACATGTGACACAAGTGTGTTGGTTTTCTCAAATAACATTTCTAATTGACATGCATTTCTTACTCGGGCATGGATAACAAAGACGAGAAAAAAACATTGTTGACCTGCACACATTTGTTTTTTAATGAGCGTGACAGTGAATACAGTTTTACTATATTCTGCATCGATCGCCAGGTGATGTGGTGGTTCACTCTTACACGGACATCTTTAGCTTTTATCTTTTTAAACGGATTCTGCTGCTGAATCACTTCGACGTGTTGGATATATCCTTCAAACACATATTGTAGACCCTTCTGTCTGCTTCTCTCTGAAATAGCTTTTTAATTTTTCAAAAAATGAGGTCAAATGTATTCAAGGAGTGCAGTTAGTGGCAGTGCGGGTCTATGGTAGCGGAGAGCTTGACGGAGTAGCAGCAGGGGGCGGGGCGTGGCAAAGGGACTGTTAGTGTTTTTACAAGCAACCAACAGCAACCCCAGTGCCATAACACTGACACAACAGTTACAGTTATTACATTAGTGCAGAGTAACTTCAGGAGAAGGCCTACCTGGGTTTGACTGCAGACACTTTAGCAGTACGGTTGAGGAAGCCACCAATGGCAGACGGGGTTTGTGGCTTGCTGCTGGATTTCTGATGATCAGCTGGTCTTTCACTGCCAATATCGATGTCCTCAAACGTGCTGGAGGAGGGCTGGGAGATCGGTTTATCAGGATCTCCTGGATTGCTGCTAGGAGCTGTTGTGGGTAGCTCCTCTTTTTTCTCCTCCTTCTTTCTGATCATTCCGAACAGAGACGACAGCCTGTCGCTCATAGAGGCCTCCTCCTGTTGTTTCAGCTCCTCGGATCTGCGTCGCTCCTCCTCCAGCTTCTGGTGTTCTGCCGCTTCCTCCTCCTCCTCTCTCTGTTTCTTCCTCCTCGCCTCATCTTCAAGGAAGCGTCTCTTCCTCTCCTGTTCCTCTTGGTGTCTGCGCTCCTCTTCCTCCAGCCTCTTGGCCTCTTCTGCCTGCCTTCTCTCCTCCCCCTCCGGATGGCGCTGTTGCTCCAGTATTGCCCTGTCCGTAGACTCGTGCTTGTGGGAGGGAACAGGCACATCTACAGGGACTTCTGAGGTGTGTTTGCGGACATCCTCTACAGATCCTTGGCCTGAGCTGTTCAGACTGAGAGTAGATCCACTGTGGGGATCCGTCTCCTCTGCGTACACATGGTTGCCGTTGATGCACATGTTGTTCAGGTCACTGTTGCTCTGCTTAGTGCGACCCAGTAGGGAGAAAGTACCCAGAGACTGCTTGCTGTCAGAGCTGTCTGTTCGCTTGTGTCCCAGGAATTTGAATTTCTTTTTAACTGTGGGAGGAGAGACAAGGAAGCATGTTTACATTGTTGACATGCAAAACACCATTATCCAACTTGCACTGCACTGCAGAGGGAAGACAGAACTGTCAACAAACTGAGTATAGAAAGGTTAAGTTACCATCAGGAGAGTCCACATTGGGGCCAGATGAGCGGCTGCCACTGAGAGAGGAATTCTTCTCTGGAAGAGTCCCCAGCGTAGACATGGACTGCGAGATGTTACGGTGCAAGTTTGATTTGGGCGCAAAGAGGGTTTTGAGTTTGGATTTCTTTTTCACTCCTTGGGACTGATTGAGTGACTGTGCGTCGGCCTCTCCCTCGCTGTCTGTGAAGCCCTTGCTGACGGAGGGAACGATAGCCGAAGCAGAGTCGGAGAAGCCATCCTTTTTCTTCCCACGGACTTTGTCCTTCAGCTTGGAGATGCGGGAGCGCGGTTTGTCCTGCATAGAAAGGTCCAACATGCTCGCTGACATGTTGTTTCTCATGAATTGGATATCTAGCAGCACCTCGCCTCGCAGCTTGTCCTGTTTTCCACTCTTGTCCACCAGCCTGAACCAACTGCAAACGACAGAAAGAAGGAATCGGGTGTTAAAGATGGAGTTTTTGCAAGAACATTGGGTTTTTCAGAGAACAAATGATAAGCTTTTTACATTTTAAACCGTTATAGATATCTTGTTTTATTACACTGCTAAATAGTCTATTGTAACAGTCTATAAACTTACAACTTATCCGGTCATTTAGCCGAACATTCAACATTTGAGACTTTTCTTCAATACAAGAAAAAAACATGGCAAATTTGGGATACATGTCCACTTCAGACAGATCACTACCTCAGTATCAAGATAAACAGTTCATGGTTCTGAAAACTGTATGAAACGAGTTGATTTGTACAGGAACTAGTTGCAAATTAAACGGTAAAGAACTGTTTCTGATGCTATGTAAAATTTAACTTATAATTAATAGTTTTATTTATTTATCATGCAGAAATAGAAAACAGTCACTTTATTCTGGATCTCAACTGTGATGATTTACTTATCATAGTCTGAGAAATGTCAATGATGAGCAACAACATTAAAACTGCTATAGAAATACTAAATATTAATATTATGTTTCACTGAGGTTTTTTTTTTTTTTTTAACCAATATCAGTCCTGATAATAACAACCAAATGTTTTCATTAATTTTAGGAGTTTTAACCCTTTAAAAATGCCCGTTTTTGAAACGATGCCACTATGTTTTTAAATGAAAAGAAACGTAAATTGCATTATATTCTGTATAGTAACAGCTATGCAAACATTTTATTTTTATTTATCAGTGATTTGCAACAATATTGATTTTGAAGCATTTCCATTTTTTAATGCAATATTAAATCAAAGAATCTCACCTGTTCATTAAGCCGTGGCCATGTAAAATATCCTTATTTTGCTCTAGAAGTAAAGCACAACAGCACCACTTGCCCTTGGCTCATATGGTCACAGACGTTTGCATGTAGCCACAGAAGTTCACCTCTACAAAGTTGAATACATTTGGTAAACTGGCCTGCAGAGCTGCATAATACAGCAGCAGAGACTTGAATGAGAAACAGGACAATAGCAAACATTTGCTCCATAGAGTAAGCATGTGAAAATGGCTCAATTTGGTTGAAACTAGTAGAAACTAGTTTTGAAGCCAGGGTTTGATAGCCTGTTATGATAGAATGTATGATCTTGTACTGCAATGGCCGGATCAAAGATGTAGGTTTGAGTGGGGACATTTGTGTCCTGAAGGAGCCGAGTGTTTGTATTTCCGCTATGCAGTTTATTATAGACTTATATTAGGAACTTAGCTTTAACTTCCAGAATTAGAAAAAAAAAATCTAAAAGCTAAAGATATCCCTAGTGAGGCACAAGGGTTAAAAAAAAAATGAACACAAAAACAACATACTGTGAATAATCTACTGGTTCTTAATAGCTCGGACTTCAAATGTGTGTCTCTTTAGACCTGCGACCGATAGGCATCATTAACGTGTGTACAGCCTGTTCCTGTTCCTGTTGGGAGCAACATGCCAACCACAGATAAAGCCCGACAATCACAGCTTTGTCCGGGCTCACCCCTCATGTGCTCTCTGTTGCACACAATCAGCACTTATTGACGGCGAGGGAAGGGTAGGAGTGTTCTGGAGAACTCGTTCTAAAACCACGTAATTAGTGCCATTACACACCGACACTTCATGCTTGTACAATTGAAGCCTTGCCCTTGCTATTATTACATGTACTAATAGTGTAGCAGAAGTGCCCATTATAGCTAACCTTTAAACTCTGATCCACATCACCCCCTTTTGCATGAGAGATCCATCCCTGACAATCATCTGCAGACATGTCCACACATCCATCATCCACTCATCGTATCGTTAGGCTGCTGGTCATAAACCTACCACCTCCATGAGGTTGAGGAATGCAGAGTATGGACTGTAAACCACTCTGTGACTGTAAAAGAATGATGAAGCATCACATCGTCCCGTACAATTTACAGCTCTGGATCCTGCCTCACTCAAAAACTTGAACCGATTTCCTCTTTGCTCATTGGGTAAAATATGATGTGGGCCCTTCGAAAGTCCAATCTAACCTTGTATGAGATAACTTGAGGTACAGCCAACATAACCGTCACTGAATTTGAATAGTTAATTTAAATACTGTTAATGCCATAGTGTGGCATTAACCAGACCGATATGTGAAGTTCACTGTTTACTGGAAACAAGCATGGGAGTGAACCAACATTCCTCAAACACGCAGGGAGGAGCTGCGCAGTACGTAATGTACTGAAAGTCACACTGAGCCTAATTCAAACACTTCTCATCTCCTAGCCTAGACCAAGCATGCCAAGACAAACAATGGCTAACTCGGTCGAACCGCGAGGACAGAGAGATCACGCTTCCTCGGGCCGATCAAGAGGCTATTCTTATTAAATTATTAAAGTTATTAAGAGACGGTGTACATGTTCTGTTTGAATAGAAATACAGGGCTGCACCCGATACCCGTCCTCACCAGTCCTGCTGGACAGGTTCCTAATTGTCAAGGGCACTTCTCTTTTCATGGGTAATGATTAACAGGAGAGACTGTATTCAAACCAGAGTGGAGTCAGTCTATGAAGTAAAGAGGTGTCAATGCTGTAAAATATAGATTCCCCCAAAACATCTGTTTAACACTCACTGACACCTCACACTAACATTTCATTTCATTTTAAAGGTTTTTAAGAATCGGGTAATAATATCAAATCTTAAAACTCATCGATAGACGAACGTATAAGATCATGTTGTTTTAATTCTATGAAGGTGATTCTCATGTTTGGTGGATAAAAAAAAGAGAAGGATGGGAGCTACTGTATTTTTAGTTCCACTGCTCTGCTCTTTGTTTACTAAATAAATAATGTGGCTCATGTGTCTGAACAGAAATAATAACCTGAACCTGTCCAATATGTAACTCAACAGACGCATACATTGGTTGAAAGAGAATTATTCTACTTAATAAAATGTATTCATTTTTTGTCTCCAAACTGTAAGAATGTGTTGCTTTTTGGTAAGTAATTGTAATCTGAACATCTTTGGGTTTTGGACCATGGGTTATATAAAATAAGTGATTAGTAGATGTTAATTTGGGTTTAAGGAAATTGTGACTGAAATTTTATGGACCAAACAAATGAGTGATGGAGGACATAAGCCCTTGATTGATCAATATTGTAATTAATAGTTAGCTGCAGCCATAAAAAAAATGATCTGTTCCTGGTAACACTTTATGAAAATAATCTCTTTGTTATAAAATGCACTCAAAGCAAACTTTTAAACCGCTTCACATCAAACCTGTATTTATAATCAATCTTAACGTCCGTTCATTTGTGACAATAAACGACTCCTTTTCTCCTACAAGCTCAGATATACCCGCACCGTGGAACCTATTTTCTTCTCGAATACACTGTATTGTGTTTAGAGGCAACAGCAAAGCTCCCTTTCAGCTGGATAACAAAGTCCTCGATGTCACACCCTTTATCAGCGGGACAGTAATCCAACACCACGCGCTTCAAGGTGAAGACACACATCCCATAGCCTGCATGTTGGATCTTAAAGGAGACAGAGGGACTGAGCCGAGCAGGCAGAGTGAAGGACTTCAGGACGGCTCATGGAACGACCTTTGCCATTAAAGTGTCTGAAACTTACCGCGCAAACACGAGATAACGTTTCAGATATGACTGTACAATAACCAAGTGACTGACGTCACACTAGTATCAAAGCTGCCGGAAGTAGAGCAACCTCACTCAGTCTTTACGAAAGGTCACATTTAAAACTCAAGAGTCTATATGTTAAACCATCTCTATCTTTAAAAATACTCTTACGTAAAAGGGTGTGTGTTATCCAAATTTAAACACCAATTCAATGTTTGTTTTTGATTCCTGTCACACCCCATGCTACATCAAACCATGCGTCATCGTTCCAAATATCTGGGTGTGAGCAGACGCATTTGTTAGTTAGTAAAGCTAGTAAACAGCCCCGAGGAACGTGCAAGACTAACAGCAGCAATGTGAGATGCCAGCTGGCCGCTACAAAAGTTAAGAAGTAAAAGTCTCAGCCAAAGATTTAAAGTTAATTCAACGGAGAGAAAAGACAGGAAAGTGCTGAGATTAGAATAATCCTGGACTGTTTACCCACAATCTCCATAGTTTTCCGTTTTTCTCCACAGACACTGATAACAGGAAGAAGGGGAGAAGAGGTTCCAGGTTCCCTGAAGTAACACTTGGCTTGATTAGATGGATAGAGAATTCACTGCGGCATTTCACACTTTATGCATACGTGCAGTTAGATATTCCAACATTAACAACAAGATACATTTGCTGAATCATTCACAAGGTTTAGCAGTAATTGTTTTGAGCGGTCCTGCTTCTTCCAGGTCTGCTTAGCAATAACCCCTCAGGAGCAGAGAGTGTGGTTAAATGAAGATCAATAAAGACCCAGGGAAATGATGGGGTCAGGGACCAACGTAATGTTTGTTTACCACCTATATTACATTTCAGATTGAGACCCACACACTCAGACTGTGGACTACTTTCGTCTATAAAGTTTGCAGAGACCTTCTGTGGTGATGCTGCACTGTAAACAAACTGGAACTAAGGTTGAAGCTGGATTTAGAGAAGAAAATAAGAACTCTTTGTTTGCATGAACTAGTGGAAACCTTTGTATAGATCATAGCTACTACAAGTAATAAACAAAGGGAAAAACACACCTAACACGAAACGAGTTCTCAGCCTTTTAAGGAACATGCAATAGTGTGAAACAGGTTCGGCCCACACATCAGTAGTCACTTACTCTGTCTTCTTGCCGGGGTTGTTGTCATGCAGATCCAGTAAGTTCACCACAGCTTGACCCAGAAACTTGTCGAGCCCCACCTGAGCCCGGTGCATCGCTATGATGTACAGCGTGCAGCGGTCCCCGTTGCCCGGGTGGAAGAGCGGCAGGTCAAAGGAAGCCTCTTCTTTCCACACCGGGTCGACACATTTCTCAGACACAGAGGTAGAAAACTTGTCTTTGGCCACCTGGATGATGGCGTAGGCGTCGTTGGTGCCATTTTTACCCTTGGCACGCAGGTTCCGAGCCTGGTGCACCGTTACGTGGACACTCGTAGGGAACCACTGCTGGCTCTGGTCGGCCAGAGACATCTCCGAAAGCCTGCTAAGCTTTTACTAAAAGTTAATCCGAGTTGTCTTGTCAAAGAGCTTACTACTGCGGGCTGTTGGCTAACCTCTTGCTGAACTCTTGCCTACCTTCGCCGTCCTCCGCAGCTGTAGGTTTAGGTTACCAGGCTTCACTCCAGGAAACTCAGGTCGTAACGTTACCTCTTCGTAACGCTATATCTAAGACTCTAATAACACTTGAGTTGAGATAACACTAAGTTAACCAACTTAACGCTAGCACCGACCAACCAGGTAAATTACTGCAGTGCGACTAATTTCTTTACGAGGCTTTTCATAAAAACAGTTTCCTTGTTTTGCCTCCGCAGTGTAAAACACTTCACTTCCCTGATGTTAAGAGTTCCCGCCCATATTATTCATTGTGCTGCCTGATTGGCTAATATTTCAGTCCGTTTTTTAACTCCGTCAGTGATTGGACAGCGGCGGAGGAGGTCGTTGAGACGTCGCTGACCCTTGAATAGGCCACTGATCAGTTTATTCTGGCAAAAATGAATAGAAGACGTTAACAGGACAACAAATTACACTGTACTGAGTTCAGTGATACTAATTCAGCACTTAAAGGATGGAGGATCGCCCAAATGGTCAGACAAATGTATGGGGCTTCTTGAAAAATATTACTGCAGTAAAGCCACATTTAAAAACTATATCCTGTGTAGGAAATTAAATAACAATAGAAAATAAAAAAGCAGGCATATGGATATGCAAGTATACAAATCTCCTTTTTTTTCTTTTATGAGGATTGTTTTGGTTCACCAGAGCTGGTAAGAGGATAGTGTTGTTTGCAGAACCTGCAGGAACAGTATGTTCAGGTTATGACTGATGCAATTATGTCAGATGGCTTAAATGTGAACCCATGAATGCATCCAGTCATGATCAGGATGAAATCACTTCATCTTTTGTCTCTCACCGACATCTTAGTATCCACATCTTGATGTGTCCACCGGGCTTTCATCAAGATGGTAACCAGCAAATTGATTAAGAGGAATATTCCTTTAGTAGTTGATCATTACTGGGGCTGCAGTTAAGGCAAAATATTGAACATTTGCATTGTTGTTTATTGTAGGCCTGTGCAATATGAAAAAAGTAGCTTATCCTCCACAGACTCAATGTTTTAGTAGAATAACATTCAGTTACAGATAGAATATACTAAAAGCAGGTGTTCACAGAGATGAGAGTAATAACACCAGATGCATGAAGTACCTGAACACAATGACATCAAAATATGCACTGAATCACAAACAAGACAAATCTATCTCAATGTTTATATTTGTCAACGAGAGGTTCGATGCAAGTCACTGTCACGTGGAATAGATGATCATTTTCATGTGTACATCCTGAATACATCCTGAGCGGTGCCGATCAAAAAGCGCACACCTCACACAGAATATATGCTCAACAGACTGACCATACTAACACCCGACAGTAACAACAAACAGTATGTAAATCTATGGATTTCATGAAGACTTCCTCACGAAGAACAAAGGGAAAAAAAACAGTGACAATGAGCTGCATTTAGAAACACTATTTCCTGTTCATGTAATTTCCTGAATTGCAAGTGTATAAAATGGACTAATAAGCAGAAGTATGGCCAAGGGGCATTTGTAAGTCTACTCAAATGTGAAGGCAACATTCTGATTTACTTTATTTAAAAAGCTTATGATCTGCATGCTGTGATGTTTTTTTTGGTCAGGCCTCTGATGCGTGAAAAGTATTCTCTGGATACTCATTGAGACATTTTTAATACCAACACCTCTGAATAAATAATAGTGTGACAGATTACTCTTATGTCATTATGGGCTGGACACATTTGTCATTGAAAAACCTGCGAGATGTGTCAGACTTGCAAGACTGACACATCTCAGATCCCTGACAATAACTGAAAAGTGTCTCTGCCGCCCAGGAGGGGGCAGTCATTCCTGCATTAGACCAGAAAATGACTTCTGCTGGAAGTGAAAATTGAATCAAGTGACTAGGTAGAAAAAAGCCAATGATTTTCCCCCTCTGGTTTTTATTCCTTCTGAATGCATTAGATAAGGGGAGCTGTGTCAGTGCTGATGGGAGCTTAGCAAAACAAAATAAAAGAAACACTTTTAGCATATATTCAAAAGTCTCAATAGCTTTTTTAATTCACTCACAGATTCTGTACAGCCACAGTCATGCAATTGCCCTCCTATTGTCTATGCATACACACACACACACACACACACACACACACACACACACACACACACA